AAAATTATTCTGTTAATAATAATAACAAGAATCTTTCCGTGAATTAAAGTCACCACAACTAAGTTCTCTTTGATTGAACTTTAACTTAGACCAGCTGATACAAAATAACTTGATTTATTCGTCTTCCCCAATTTGTGGACGAACAACCTGACGTCTTCGGAAAATAATATCTTTGCTTTCGTTGGAGAGTCGGAAACAGCACAAAAATCATTTTCAAGATACGCACCATTACACAAAAACAATTCACTTACAGCGCTTTGGCCAAATCTTTTTTTTTCGTTTGATTTATTAAATTGCAGATCTATATAGTTACATCGTCTTCATTGAACTTTCACTTTCTCCGATAATTCCCAAATAACCCAGTTTTGCGCACTTCTTTAATATTTTTTCCCCCGATTGCATCGATAAGGGTTTCGTGGAGGTCGGTGTACATCCAATCAAAGTTAAACAAGCCCAAGTCATAAATTGTAGCAACAATTTCCTCTATTTGGTGAAAGAGAGAAGTTCTCAGCTATAGGGGGGTTTTCCACCGCCGGTCGAATTTTCGTTAACTTCAAGGGTTGCAATTCAAATTCTATTGTTCTTCCCTTGTCTTGATATTTTAATAGTTTGATATTTTAGCGTACTTGTATCTCCTTGCCTGCCTATTTTGTTCTTGAATCTTTAGTTAGTATTTGTCCTAGCATTATTAAATTAATTGTATTAGTGATAGCTTTGCTTACTTGTTTATATTGTTATCTACGTGTTTATATCTTTATTTTGAATCTCTATTGCATATTTTCTTTGTGACCTTTGGTTGTAGATTATAGCCCTCTTTAGCTCTTGAATTGTATTTCTTCACCTATTTTTCTATCATTTAGTTGTAGATTATAGTTCCTTTATTTTATTTCTTTACCTGTTTGTCTGACCTTTAGTTGTAGATTATAGTTCCCGTTAGTTCCTTTATTTTATTTTTTCACCTGTTTTGCGACCTTTAGTGGTAGTTTATATTTCGGTAATCCATTTTATTTTTGGCGCTTGTTTTCGGGATAGTGCTTGCGTAGTGACTCCTAGATTATAGTGGCTTTGTTGAACGATGGTAGGGTAAGGTCTTGTCCCCGGGGGTGTCAGCGCGGGGGAGGGGGTGCAGGGGGGTAAGAGGGTTAAGGAAGCTACTAGGCTAAGAGTGGGGTCTTGGAACATATGAACTTTGACTGGAAAATCTGTAGAGTTAGCGAAGATTCTCGAGAAAAGGAAGATTAATATAGCTTGTGTACAAGAGACTAGGCGGGTTAGAGATAAGGTGCGGGATGTGGGCAGTTTCAAACTTTGGTATTCTCGGAGGGTGGGGGGCAGGAACGGGGTAGGTATTTTAGTTGATGAGGACCTCCGTGAACTAGTGGTGGAGGTTAGGAGGGTGAATGACAGGTTGATGATTATTGAGCTAGTGGTTTGAGGTTTTACTTTGAACATAATCAGTGCGTACGCACCCCAAGCAGGCTTGGATGAGGAAGTCAAGAGGCGTTTCTGGGAGGATTTGGATGAGATGGTGCGTGGTATCCGCATACAGAGAAGCTTTTCATAGGAGGAGATTTTAACGGATACATTGGAGCGACGTTTGGAGGGTATGATAATGTGCACAGTGGCTTTGGTTTTGGAGATAAAAACGGAGGAGGAATGTCTCTACTGGACTTTGCTAGAGCATTTGATTTGGTGATAGAAAACTCGAGTTTCCCGAAGAAAGAGGGAGGACTTGGTCACCTTCCAGAGTTCGGTGGCTGAGATACAAATTGATTATTTACTCTGCAGAAAGTCCGATAGAGGCCTTTGCACGGATTGCAAGGTCATCCCGATTGAGAACCTCTCGACCCTTTATAGGCTCCTGGTCATGGACCTTGAGATCACGAGGAAGAGGAGGAAGAAAGTGATGTATAGCCAACATAGGATCAAGTGGGGAGCCTTGACAAAAGCTAAAGCGCAGGAGTTGGGGGTCAAGCTGGTGACTATGGGGGCTTGGAAGAGTAGTGGGGACACAAACGCTATGTAGACCACGACTGTGCAGTGCATTAGGGAAGCCAGAAGAGAGGTATTAATGGTTCCCAAAGGGTTACTCTGGTGGTCACAAGGGATACTGGTGGTGGAATGGAGAGGTGTAAGGAAAAGTGAAAACCAAGAAAGTAACGTATCTGAAACTAGGGGAAAATGTAGACGAGGAGGAGAATAGGGCGAATAGGGATCATTATAAGTTGGCTAAGAAAGAGGCAAAGATAGCAGTTATGGCGGTCAAGACTGCAACTTTTAGTCGTTTGTATGAGGAACTCGAGGGGCGAGGTGTGGATAAGAGGTTGTTCAGGTTAGCCAAGGCGCGTGACTTGGACCAAGTGAAGTGTATCAAGGATGAAGAAGGTAAAGTTTTGTTAGATGAGGGGCTTATCCGTCAGAGATGGCAGACCTACTTCCATAGTGATCTCTTGAACGAGGAGGGGGACATGAGCATTGTACTGGGTGATTTGGAACTCTCCGGGAGTCGGTGTGACTTTGGGTATTGTAGACGAATTAGAGTTGATGAAGTTGAGGGGGTTATGCGTAAGATGAGCAAGGGCAAAACGACTGGGATGGATGAAATCACGGTGGAGTTTTGAAAGAGTACGGGCAAGGAAGCCTTGGAGTGGCTTACTAGGTTCTTTATTGTAATTTTTAGAACGAAGAAGATGCCCAAAGAGTAGAGGTGGATCATGATGGTTCCTGTATACAAAAATATGGATGATATCCAAAATTGCAATAACTATCGGGGTATCAAGCTGCTTAGCCATATTATGAAAGTTTGGGAGAGAGTGGTAGAGCTAAGAGTAAGGAGGAGTGTGTCTATTTTCGGTAACCAGTTTGGATTTATGCCGGGGCATTTGACTACAAAAGCCATCCACATTGTTAGAAGATTGATGGAGCAGTATAGGGAGAGAAAGAAGGACTTGCATATGGTGTTCATCGACTTAGAAAAGGCGTACGGTAAAGTTCCGAGGGAGGTTTTGTGGAGAAGTTTGGAGGCTAGAGGTGTACCTGTTACCTACGTTAGGTTGATTAAGGACATGTATGATGGAGTAAAGACCTGAGTGAGGACAGTGGGTGGGGACTCGGACCATTTTTTAGTTATGATGGGGTTGCATCAGGGGTCAGCACTCAGCCCTTTTTTGTTTGCTCTGGTGATGGACGTACTGACGCGCCACATCTAAGGGGAGGTGCTGTGGTGCATGCTATTTGCAGATGATATTGTATTGATTGACGAGACGCGAGATGGTGTGAACGCGCAATTAGAGGTATGGAGACAGACCCTAGAATCTAAAGGTTTCAAGTTGATCAGAACCAAGACAGAATACTTGGAATGTAAGTTCGGTGGCGAGACTCAAGGAGGAAAAAGAGGGGTGAGGATGAACTCGCAGGTCATCCCTAGGAGAGGGAGTTTTAAGTATATTGGGTCTATTATTCAGGGGGGTTGGGAGATTGATGAAGATGTCACACATCGTATTGGGGCATGATGGTTGAAATAAAGACTTGCTTCCGGTGTTTTGTGTGACAAGAAGGTGTCATCGAAACTAAAGGGTAAGTTCTACAGAGTGGTGGTCAGACCAACGATGTTGTATGGGGCTGGATGTTGGCCAGTCAAGCTCGCTCATGTCCAAAAGATGAAGGTAGCAGAGATGAAGATATTGAGATGGATGTGCGGGCACACCAGGTTAGATAGGATCAGAAATGAGGTTATTTATGACAATGTGGGTGTGGCCCCTATTGAGGACAAGATGCGGGAAGCGCGACTTAGGTATTTTGGTCATGTGAGGAGGACGAGTACAGACGCCCCGGTAAGGAGGTGTGAGAGGTTGACATTGGAGGGCCTACGGAGAGGTAGAGGTAGGCCAAAGAAGAGGTGGGGAGAGGTGATTAGACAAGATATGGTGCAGCTTCAGCTGACCGAGGACATGACCCTTGGTATGAAGGTATGGAGGTCGAGGATTAAGGTAGTAGAGTAAGTAGTCTAGAGTGTTCATAACATTAGTATTGGCATGCAGCCTCGCTTTCTGTTGGTACTAAATTTTTATGACTAACCGTTATTTTTTTTATTGTTGATTAACTTACTATCTTATTATTTTTATTCTGCTTTTATATGGCTTTTTGGTACTGTCCCTTCTTATCTATATTTTTATTAATGTGGTGCTTATACTTTCCTAAGCCGAAAATCTATTGGAAATAACCTCTATCCTCATAAGGTAGGGGTTCCTCCCCAAACCTCACGGTGTGAGATAATACTGAGTATGTTATTGTTATTCTGTTAATAATTTTTATATTAATTTTTTTTTAAATATAATTCATTAACCGAACCATATTAAATTATAGCTTTTTTAGTATATTTTTCTTTTGTCTATTTTTTATCGTCGCCAAACTTTGTTTTGACTTATATGGTTTGTAACTACCAATTTAACTTGCCTTGTTTTCTAATTACATCTCCCATATTTTCATGAAAAATTGCGTCTAAATTTTGATAGTCGAAGATTTTCATACAACTATCAACATAGAAGTTTGACAGTTCCTAATTTTCATGACTGTCGACAAATTTAACATAATCTTGTTAATTAAAAGATAACTCGGCCAACATTTCTACATAGCCAACAGCCCAACACACATTAAACATAAATACTCGCATTCAACATTAAACCTAGCCAAATTTTCCAGCATTATCGACCAACGTTCAGCATAAATACTATCTCGTAACATTAATTGCTGGCCATGTTATTTAGCACCGACTGCATATTTGTAAATTGTAATTTGACACTGCTAATGCACAAAACTAAAATATTACAAGCAAGAAGGTGCAAAAGTGTTATTAACAAAAAGTAGACGGACTAACCCTGATAATACAACGGAAACATAAAAATACTAACACAACAATTTCACGACACCTAGAAAAGCCACCCTGGAAAAATTACCAACAAAAAGACCCAC